CACATTTCATAGCTCCTTCAAACGAGAATTCTTAGTAGGAACAAGCTTAATTCGTGCCTGCAATTCGGACACTTAATATAACGTTACAGTGAGTACTTTCGAATGTTTAGTAGAAGTCACTTTACTGCATACTTTGATCTTGAGCCCAAAATAGCAGTTTCGTTTTCTATAAAAGCTATTAAAGGGATATGCTACGTATTGCTGTAAAGATATACTATGAAATATGTTACACACGCACACGCACACACACACACACGCACACATGAACACGCACACACGAACACGCACACAAGCACACTCACACGCACACACACACACACGCTTGACCCCCTTCCTCCAAAACACACACACACACGCACACACACACACACAAACACACACACACGCACGCTTGCCCCCCTCCCACCAAAACACACACACACACGCACACACACACACACACGCTTGCCCTCCTCCCTCCAAAACACACACACACACACACACACACACACCCCACCCACGCCCAACCTGCACACGTTCCAAGGAGAGGGCGCAGGCTGGGGTGCCGTGCAAAGGCCACGTATGTTTGCAGTTCGATGAAGGCTTTAATATGTCAATGACTTTCGTGGAATTAATCAAGTGTATGGCAACTCAGCCGATCTAATTCCCTGCCTGTATATTGGAAACTGTTTATCTTTGTTTTATTTTTTTGTTTCTTTTATACTGTTGGGTTTCTTTTTTTTGGTTTGTTTGTTTGATTTCTTATTAATTTTTATTGAGTATTGTTTTTTACCTTTCTTTTGACTTTTTTTATTGTTTATTATTTTTTTTGTATTTTACTTTTTATTTTTTTCCGTGTTTTTCTTTCCTTTTCATAAGTTTTAATTGATTATTGTTATTATTATTATCATTATTACTAGTAGTAGTAGTAGTAATAGTAGTTCTCATTATTATTGTCGTTGTCGTTGTTGTTGTTGTTGTTGTTGTTGTTGTTGTTGTTATTATTATTATTATTATTATTTAATTATTATTATTTCATACCTTTTTTCACTTTTTTTTGTAAAAAAGTTTTATAACTCGGAGAGCTGGACTATAAATAACTTAAAGTCATAACTTCAATTTATGTTCTCTTCTTTTCAACATGCAATTGCAAGGTACGACCGTAGCCTAATGATGAAATTGAGTCGAAAAAAGCTCCATGTCTTTATAAAAAAAAGGTATATTATATAAGGAAGATTGATGATAATTTGTATTTTGTTATAATATATATTTGATATGAATTCAATTTAAGAAACTTTCCCAGAGACTATCTATTTTTTTTTATCTATTATCATTGTATTTTTATTATTATAAGTGATATATTATGATCTTCTGTTATTAATATTAATGTTATTATCATCATTTTAATCATTATCATTGTTAGTATTATTGCTTCACTGGTATGATTATGGTTATTATCATTAGCATTATTATATTTAGTTATTACTATCATTATCATTATCATTTTTTATCATTATATTTTGATCTATTATTATCTATCATCAATATCTAATATCTATATCCTTATTGTTATCATCATTATCATTATTATCATCATCATAATTGCTTTTATCTTCTATATCACTGTTATTAACATCATTCTTTCATTTTCATTATTATTATGATAATTACCCATCTTTTACCAGAGAGAAAGAAATAGAGAAAGAGAGAGAGAGAGAGAGAGAGAGAGAGACAGAGAGAGTGAGAAGAGAGAAGAGAGAGAGAGAGAGAGAGAGAGAGAGAGAGAGAGAGAGAGAGAGAGAGAGAGAGAGAGAGAGAGAGTGAGAAGAGAGAGAGAGAGAGAGAGAGAGAGAGAGAGTGAGAGAGAGTGAGAAGAGAGAGAGAGAGAGTGGAAGAGAGAGAGAGAGAGAGAGAGAGAGAGAGAGAGAGAGAGAGAGAGAGAGAGAGAGAGAGAGAGAGAGAGAGAGAGAGAGAGAGAGGAGAAGAGAGAGAGAGAGAGAGAGAGAGAGAGAGAGAGAGAGAGAGAGAGAGAGAGAGAGAGAGAGAGAGAGAGAGAGAGAGAGTGGGAAAGAGAGAGAGAGAGAGAGAAAGAGAGGAGAAGAGAGAGAGAGAGAGAGAGAGAGAGAGAGAGAGAGAGAGAGAGAGAGAGAGAGAGAGAGAGAGAGAGAGAAAGAAAGAGAGAGCGAGAGAAAAAAAGAAAGGAAGAAAGAAAAAAACAGAGAGAAAGAAAGAAAGAAAGAATTAGAAGTCGAAAATACACAGAAAAGTTTCCATAAGTTAATCACGCATTTTTCGAAACTTACCCCCCCCACCCCCTCCACCCACCCAACCTCCCCCCATTCCATTCCCCACGTGACTTATAGGGGAATTTTCTCTTCTCAGATAACAGCGAGATAATGATAACAATAACAAAGCCGCTTAAAAAAAAAAAAAACATTATCTTGAATGCATCTATCTTTAGCAACATCTGTCTGATATGAGAAATGGCAAAAGAGATCGTATGATTTAGCAAAAGAGACCATTAGAAGTTAGTGAAGCAATGACATGGTAAAAATAAAGTGAATACAGATGATTTAAGGTATTGGGGTTATTACTGAAGATTTCTTTGTAATAAGCCTTATTTCGAGACGATTTTGCAATGCCCACAATGCAATCTTCTGATCTTCTTTTTCTGTCTTGCGTAAAACGTTTACTGTGAATACTAAGATATATTTATTTGTTCGTAATTATTGAGGAATAAAAATGCCTACAGTGCGGATTTTGGCTTTCAGATTTTTTTTTTCTGCCTAAGGTAAAATTTTCACTTGATATAAAAAAAATACTTATATGTAATTATCAGGGAATTAATTTGACTTCTGTTATGGTCTTCCATTAGTTTCTTTTTGTTTTTATCTTTTTTTTCTCTCTCTCTCGCTCCTTTTATCCCAGACGTTGCTAAATCCTTGTTTCAGATGCTTATTTTTTTTTCTATATCATTCTCTTTCTCAATTTATCTATCATACCCCCCCCCCCCCCCCGCTCTCGCTCTCCTACCCTTCCTCTCTTTTTCTCTTTCTTTCGCTCTCTCTCTCTCTCTCTCTCTCTCTCCCCTCTCTTCCTTTATTATATCTCTCCCATTTCCTCCTCTCTCTCTCCCCTCCCTTCTCTTCCTCCCTCCTTTTTCTATTCCCTCCTTCCTCTTCCTCCCTCCTCTTCTCCCTCTTCACTCCCTCCCTCAGAGAGAGAGAGAGAGAGAGAGAGAGAGAGAGAGAGAGAGAGAGAGAGAGAGAGAGAGAGAGAGAGAGAGAGAGAGAGAGAGAGAGAGAGAGAGATTGAGAGAGAGATTGAGAAAGAGAGAAAGAGAGAAAGAGATTGAGAAAGAGAGAAAGAGATTGAGAAAGAGAGAGGGAGAGAGAGGGGGGGGGAGATAGATAGATAGATAGATAGATAGATAGATAGATAGATAGAGATTGAGAGAGAGAAAGAGAGAGAGAAAGAGAGAGAGAGAAAGAGAGAGAGAGAGAGAGAAAGAAAGAAAGAAAGAAAGAAAGAAAGAAAGAAAGAAAGAAAGAAAGAAAGAAAGAAAGAAAGAAAGAAAGAAAGAAAGAAAGAAAGAAAGAGAAAGAAAGAAAGAAAGAAAGAAAGAAAGAAAGAAAGAAAGAGAAAGAAAGAAAGAAAGAAAGAGAAAACAAGCACACTATAGGCCCAATTAACCTCTGACCTCTGTGGAACATTAACCCGGCGTTCCCTCGCTTTCCTGGCCTCCCTGACCTGTGACCTTTTAAGCTTATTAATAACCGTGCGTTTATTAACGTTCTTGTTATTCCCCATTCGGTGTAAAGTCATGTCTGGAGCTACAGGGTATTAGAAAAAGTTATATTTGTTTTTTGTATATATTTCTTATATTTCGGGGTGGGGGGGGAGGGGAGTTATATTTTATCATCTATGTTCTTTTTGTGAGAGTCTGGTTATTATTAATGTTATTGTTATTATTAATATATTATTGATATCATTATTATTACTATAATTTTTATTATTATTATTACTATTATTATTACCATTGATACTACTGTTATCATTATTACTATACTACTATCATTATTATTATTATTATTATTGCTATTATCCTTATTGTTATAATCATTATCATCATTATTATCCTATTCATCATCATCATCATCATCATCATAATTATTACCGTTGTTTATTACTTTCATATTTTTCATATAACTCAGACACATTAATATTATTTTTTTCTGTTGCAATTGATCAGTATTTAAATGCATTCTTGATCCTATAATTTCCTCACGCATATCCACTCTTCCTCCTACGTAAACTTACACATAAATACGATTGTATACACACGCACACACATACACACATATACACACACATACATATATACATACATACGCACTCACACACATACATACACACACACACACATACATACGCACACACGCACACACATATACCCACATATTCGCACATTCCCCGCAAATACTCACATATCCACACATACCCCACAAATACCCACATATCTACACATACCCCACAAATACCTACACATATCCACACAT